ATTACAATGTTAGACAAAAGAAATAAATTAGTTTATATAATAGACATTGCCATATGTAACACACACAACCTTGTAAACACACACTCCGAAAAAATTGCAAAATACACAGATTTATCCATAGAACTAAAAACACAGTGGAATGTTACTCAGACCAAAACTATCCCAATCATATTGTCCACTACGGGAGTTATTCCAAAATCCCTACACAATAGTCTCAGCACATTACATATCAGTCCCTCTACTTACCTCCTTCTGCAAAAAGCAGTAATTTTAAATACATGCCGCCTTACTCGCAAATTTTTAAATAGTTAGCTTTTAAGTTCATTTAAACGCACTTGGCTTCGGCCCGTGCTTCTTTAAACCCCACCAAGATGGGAGAAACGTAAGAGTTATCGAGAAATAATAATAATAATAATAATATTATTATGTATGTCTTTACCATTCACGGGACCACAGGGTCCCGGTCATTTGGAAGGCGTACGAGGGGCCGAAGCCAACTGCGCAGAGGCCCTTTAGACAACTATAATATAAATGTAATGGACACACAAACCGGCGACTATCCCTGTATGCACTATGGAAATGCACCCAAGGACAGTCCCCGGTTAGTGTAGGACTATTGTGAATAATGGAAAAAAAAAAGGTAGGACTATGGATGGGTTGCTGTGGACTGGTAAATTGGGAACTATGGATGACTATGACACCTGCCGAAACAATGTAATTTTTACACGTAAAAATGGCAGGCGGAGACTCGCCAACTCACCGACCGGGCCCCGGGAATGGCTGCTAGATATAGCAACAGAGGGGCAACGAGAATGTGAGTGGCTGAAGGGTTAAGAAACTACCACCGCTTTCTACTCAGATCATCTGCTCCAGCCGAAGCCTCCTGCATCCCTGGCCCACTCGCGACTTACGAATAGTTTCTTACCCTCCGAGCAGGTTCACTGCTCTCGCGACTCCACTCTGGACGGCCAATGAAGGCAAGCCAGAGGTGGGAGACCTGTTCCTTGTCATCGTTCACTCCAGCCAGCCAATTAAGGCAAGCCGGAGAAGAAGGAACGGTGACTTCTCCCTGGAGCACTCGGGATGATGGTAGCCCGCGGGATCGCTAATGCCCGTCACCTCGCCTCAAGGTGCCCTGCGGGCATATTATTATTATTATTATATAATTACATTGTTTCGGCAGGTGCCATAGTCATCCATAGTTCCCAATTTACCAGTCCACAGCAACCCATCCATAGCCCCACGTTCTTTTTTTTTTTTTCCATTATTCACAATAGTCCTACACTAACCGGGGACTGTCCTTGGGTGCATTTCCATAGTGCATACAGGGATAGTCGCCGGTTTGTGTGTCCATTACATTTATATTAAAGTTGTCTAAAGGGCCTCTGCGCAGTTGGCTTCGGCCCCTCGTATGCCTCCCAAATGACCGGGACCCTGTGGTCCCGTGAATGGTAAAGACATACATAATAATAATAATAATCTTTATTGTCGCAAAGGTTATACAGTTCTTTGGGTGACTTATATCTAGACACAGGCTTAAAATGTAATGTGCTATAGGTACTGATGCTGTCTCCCAAACTAAGCGAAAGCTTGTATTTTGGGTGGCAGTGTTCAGTCATTTAATGAGGTTCAACGATTACTGCTGGAGATTCAAGAGAAAAAAATAAATAAAAAATAATTAAAAGATATTAATGCCTATACATGTACATATTACTAATGTGGACCGTGAATTGTTGAGTGAGCATGAGTATAAGTGAGTGTGTGTAGTGTGGGCGTAAGTGTGTAGGGATGTGTGGGATTTTGTGTTTGTGTTGTATGAGAGTGTGGTGTTATGTAGGTAATGGTAACGTGTGTTTGTATGTGAGGGTTACTCTATGCGATGTATGTCAGTAATTCTTCCGTTTTTTTGTAGTCTTTATTTTGGAGCCAGTTAGTCAGGCTGGTTTTAAGTTTGTGTCTGCTTAGTCCAGCGATATTCAGTTTCTTGTGGATGTCGTTGTATAATTTAATGCTCATATTGTTGAATTGTCTTTTGGCAAAGGAGGTCTTACAGAGAGTGCGTGGGCATACAGGCTTCCCGCTACGTTTGTCTGGATCGGGACGAGGGATGCTTCGGTGTCTTCTCATGGTGGACTTGAGCACAAAGAGCTGTCGAACTGTTAAGACCTTGCAGTCTGAATAAAGTTTTTCGGTGGAGTATCTATAAGGCTTTTTAGTCATTACTTTGAGCACAGCTCTTTGTGCTCTTTCCAGACTGAGAAGGAGCGTCTTGCCAGCGCCACCCCAAACTGGAATGCAATACTGAATAATGGACTGACAAAGGGCTAGATAGGTGAGTTTTAGTGTCTTAAATGGAACACAGTCTCTGAGTGTTTTAAATATATGTATAAGTCTCCTCACTCTGGAGGTGACTGTGTCAATCTGCTTGTCCCACCTCAGTCCACCATCAATATATACACCCAGGTACTTGACGTGCTTGGCTCGTTCGATTTGTTGGCATGTACAGACTTCCCGAAGAGAGCAATTATGGGCTATGATAGAGAAGTTTTGTGGTGGGGAATTAGTTTTCCTGATTGAGAATTAATACTATAATATCTACTACAATTTCAACTTAAAATACATAGTAATAAAAATTCTTCTTGTTTTATAACAGCTGAACAGCTGGAGAAAGGAAGTTATTTTGATTTCATTATGTGGAATATACCTGGTTCATATAAGTCGCATTCGATTTCATCCATATTGGCAAAAGAAACATGATAAATAAAAATTAATGCATGAATCGCACTAAGAATAGATATCGTATACCACTAGACAGCAAGGCAGTCTTATTGTAATCTGATACTTGTTATCTGAAATGCGCATTTGTTTATCAAAAAACACGTATTAATCTTAAACCTGCTTTTTGGTAATTTGGGACAAAAATTAGGCAATCCGTAATGACTAAGAAAATGTTGGAACTACAAATACAGAGTTAGTTTGGGATTTTTATTATAATAATTAAGAGTGAGGCATTTTCCATGTTCGCCAAAACGTAAAAAAGACACATACATACATACATAACATCACGCCTTTTATCCCCGAAGGGGTAGGCAGAGGTGCACATTATACCACTGTACAATGTAACACCCGCTTTTCATAATTTATGTTATGAGTCCCATGTAATAGGGGGTGAGCCTATTGCCATTTACCGGGCACAATTCCAGACTTCGTGCTACTACTGAGAATTTTGTAAAAACCCAGTAATACTTTGCCCGACCCGGGAATCGAACCCGAGACCCCTTGCCCGGCAGTCGCACTTGCGACTACTCGGCCAACGAGGCAGTAAAAAAGACAATTTTGTAAGTTATTATTTGTAGAAAATATGAAATTTTTACCAAAGAACTGTGGAGTACTATGCAAGTAATATGGTGAATAGAGTCCAGTAACCCAACCTTAGGACCTTTGTAGAATAAAACATGACAGCCATAAATCCACGTTATGCCATCGGCTCGTGTCAGGTCGTCGAGAGTGCACTCGTTTAGATCAGTTAACTCTTTGCGGTACAATTTTTGTGTTTCGCCGCCGAGAATGCCAATAAAGCCCTTTTTATGTTCCCCGACGCCTTTTGTTTGTCCAACTGAATTGCGTGTTCGCTTTTACATTTGATTTTGTGATAAAATACCAAAGAAACCGAAGCATTGAACACATTGCCCAACAGTAGTTCAAATATTTAAACTGAATGTTATTCTGATGTGGTATTTTTTAATTAATGATCAGAACGCTCCATTTTGGTTAAGTTCAAAATGTCTTAACGGTAATGCGGATGTGAAAAGAATGCATTTTAATGTGGTCTGGCCACGTTACTTTAAAAACACAGGGTGTAATTAAAATTTATATTATTAGACAGTCGATTGCATCTAATAGTGTTCAAAGAAGGAAAATGTCCATTAACGTCGATAAGTGTACATAATTTACTGATTTAACTGGGAATTACTAATTACTTCACACTTGAATCCTTTGGTTCCACATTATCGGCGGTACGTAACTTTCCAAAGACATTTTAAGAAGGTTTTAACACGTTAATGATGATGTCATCATGAATCAGTTGACAAGTTACCTAGATAAGCCTTATCACACAATGCGTCACAACCCAGGTAGGTCCCGACTTGTATAACAAAAGCAAGTCGTCTGAAATGTTTCCGCAATTTGTGTTGCATTATCGACGATCATATTGTGAAAATATGCACGTAGTCCTCACTGATAACAGGTGATAAACATCGTAGGTATTTTTTGTATCTATGGTAATGGAATTCCTGCAAGATTAACGTTAATTTTGGATTATTATTTTAAATTATCAATGAGTATTAAAATAAAAGTAGGTAGGTACCTAATCAAACGTGTTATACATGATAAGAGAGAAATTATCCCAAATTAACAAAATTAATTAGGCATTTATATTATAAGCTTCAAATATAAGTGATCTATCAATATGTTCCGTACTTTGCAGTTTCAATTTGGTTACCTAAGTTTAACATAAATTCTATATTTTTTTATATCGCACGCATTTCAGTCGGAACTCTATTGAAATTTTATGATTAGACAAAACAAACAAAGTAAGCACCGCCATGTTTATAAAAGCTCGCAAAGCGCGCTTCTGTTCATGCCAATCTTGCGGCGAGCAACTTGTTGCCGTTGTGAACTTTTTAACAGACAGAGATAGCCGTATCGGTAGGCCTTGTCGGGGGAGGAGCAACCGTGCGCGGGGAGCGTGCCGCCACCGGCCGGTCGCTCAACTTGCTTTGCGCTACGCTCAGTCGCTTCTCACGAGTCTTCGAGAGAGGCGCTTGCTGCACCTCAGCTCGCGAACTCGTGCCGTTATGTGTCGCACTTCGAAACAAGTTTGACGGGAAATTCGTGAAGTTTTCCAAGCGCGTCCGGACTAACGTAGCGATGTGCGCGATAATATCAACTCAAACAGTGACAATTTAAATAAAGTGACAGTTAAAAGTGAGTTATTCGAGATGTTATCGATGGGATTATTGGCTGTATGGTATGCAGCATGGAGTTGGATGTACTTGGGTGTCAGCGCTGCTTCGCTGACGAGCCGCGTCGCGGAAGCACCCCAGGAGTGCGAGTGGCAGCGAGTGTCGGGTGATGCCAGTGAATCTACCCGCGTCCAGTTGTCTTGTTCGCTGCGGACCGCTGCCGGCGCTACAGACCTATTGGCAGGTCTAAGTTCTTCTCAAGCTCAGCGCATCACTGTCCTTGATCTACATTGTACAGATGTTCTCTTCTTTGAGAGTTCTCTGGATTTTGGAAGACGAAAAGAAGAAGGAACACAGCTCTTATCTCGGTTCCACAACCTTAGAGAACTGAGGATAGAGTCTTGTAAAATTCGATATGTTCCATCAGCTGTTTTATCACCGCTAAGTGGATTGAGGAGTTTAACAATAAGGACACACAATACGGATTGGTCAGCGATGTCCATGGAATTCCATAGGGACACATTCCGTGGACTTACTGATCTGCGATCTTTGGATTTGGGTGACAATAATATTTGGAACCTGCCTCCTGAAATATTTTGCCTCTTGTACAATTTAAAAGAGCTAAATATAACACAAAACCGATTACAAGACATATCAAATCTTGGATTCTCTGACTGGGGCAATGGGCCAACTGCCCCCGGTAAATCGTGCAACACCGTGTTAGAAACTTTAGACATGTCATACAATGAAATAAGAACTTTACCTGATAATGGACTATCAAGTTTACGTGCACTTCAAAAGTTATTCTTGCAAAACAACAGAATATCTGCTGTAGCCGATAGAGCTTTTGTCGGCTTGAGTGATTTGCAAATTCTAAATCTGTCAACAAATGCTTTGACTGCCTTACCACCTGAAATGTTCCAGTCGTCGAGAGATATCAAACAAATATATTTGAACAACAACTCTCTAAGCGTTCTCGCTCCGGGACTATTGGAAGGATTGGATCAATTGCAAATATTGGATTTATCGGTGAATGAGTTGACAAGTGAATGGGTAAATAGAGACACATTTTCAGGGCTTGTTCGTTTAATTGTTCTGAATTTATCACACAACCGAATCACAAAAATAGATGCACTGCTATTTCAAGATTTGAATAATCTACAGTTTTTGAGTTTGGAACACAACAACATAGCACGTGTAGCGGACGGTGCATTTTCTAATTTGAAAAACCTTCACTCGCTTTCTCTGGCACATAATAACATATTAGAAGTTGACAGCGGACATTTTTCAAATCTTTATGTTCTGAATCAGTTGTTCCTCGACGGCAATAGAATAACGAAAGTCGATTTACGATCTTTTGAGAACATAACGAAGCTTCACGACTTGGGTCTTAGTGGAAACCAGTTATCGGAGGTACCGGAAGCAATCAAAACATTAAGATTTTTGACATCTCTAGACCTAGGTATGAACAGAATCACTAAAGTCTCAACATCACAGTTTGAAGGATTAGATGATTTGTATGGCTTACGTCTTGTCGGAAATAAAATAGAAAAGATATCAAAGGATACATTTGCTGCCTTACCCTCGATGCAAATATTGAACTTGGCTTCAAACAACATAGATCAAATAGACGATGGAGCTTTTGCTTCAAACCAACAGTTAAAAGCAATCGGACTGGACGGTAACAAACTGGTGGACTTGAAAGGCATATTTACTAACACCCAACCGCTTGTTTGGTTAAACGTGTCTAACAACGAGTTGCTTTGGTTTGATTATAGCCATATTCCTACTAATTTGGAATGGCTGGACATGCACGAGAACAAAATTGAAAAGCTTGAAGATACATACGGATTGAAGGAGTCGTGTTCAGTTAAAATGCTCGATATTAGTTATAATAAATTACGGAGCATTGATGAGTTCTCTTTCCCAAGCAGTATAGAGACTGTTGTTTTAAACAATAATAACATTGATAAAATAAGTCCGGGGACATTTCTACAAAAGTACAATCTGAACAAAGTAATGTTGTACGCAAATAAAATACGCACATTGGAGCTTGGCGCTTTTGCGATATCATCTGTTCCCGAGGACAAAGATTTACCCGAGTTTTATATTAGCGAAAATCCATTTGAGTGTGACTGTACAATGGAATGGCTGCAGACAATTAACCAATTAAGTGACCTCAGGCAGCGCCCGAGAGTAATGGATTTAGAAAGTGTAAGGTGCTCTTTAACCCATTCACGAACCAGATCGGATATGCTTTTGCTGGAAGTAAAATCTTCAGAATTTCTGTGTGAGTACGAGTCACATTGTTTCGCGGTCTGCCATTGTTGTGACTTTGACGCCTGCGATTGTAAGATGACTTGCCCAGATAAATGCTCGTGTTATCATGATCAAACCTGGACCACCACTAACGTCGTCGATTGTTCAAACGCTGGCTACGATCACGTGCCGGACAGAATACCGATGGATGCGACCGAAATATACTTAGATGGAAATGACTTGAAAGAGTTAGGAAATCACGTTTTTATTGGCAAAAAAAAGTTACAAGTCTTGTATCTAAATAATAGCAATATCAACACAATACAAAATAGAACATTTAACGGTATCGAGTCATTGAGAATTCTTCATTTGGAAAACAATAAATTGGAGGTGCTAAGAAATACGCAATTCACTAGATTACCCAATTTGAACGAACTGCATCTTAGTGACAACAAGATCAAGGTCATAGAAAATGATACGTTTAATTACCTGCCCTCACTGGAATACTTGAACCTCGACAATAACGGGTACGTTGATTACATGCCATGGAGAGTCATTACAGACAACGATCCCCGCACTCGTGTCTCGGTAGATGGGAATAACTGGATTTGCGATTGTAAAGACGTCAACCAGCTGAACCAATGGCTTCTAAAAAAATCAAAAGACACAGAAAGTATGATGTGCTACTTTGCTCATGGGCAAGCTATGAATAAAACCATCGCAACCGTAGCAAAGGAATGTAAAACGGAGACCACTACTGAAGAAACCGGCACTGAGACACTAAAGCGATTATTCATTGAATCGCATGACGGTGTCGAAAATTACATTCCATATATCGCTGCGGTACTGATAATAGCAATTATTCTCTTACTAATGTGTGCTTTGCTCTTCATGTTCCGAGAAGATTTTAAATTATGGATGCATTCGAGGTACGGTGTAAGAATATTCACTTCGACTCCGAAAGATATGAACGACAACAAAAACAAACGGTTCGATGCTTTTTTTGTTTACAATCCACGAGATGAAGATTTCGTTACTCGCGCCGTGAGTTCTGAACTAGAAAATATGGGACACACGTTATGTCTGCAACATCGAGACTTGCCTTTGGTTGAAAGGCGTTCAGGTGATAGTTTAGTGAGTGCTTCCGAAAGTTCTAAAAGACTCGTTATAGTGTTATCAATAACATTTTTACAACAAGAGTGGTACGCGGCAGAAACAAACGCCGCTATACAAAGTGCAATCAATTCAGTGAACGTTAGGCATAGACGTCAAAAGATAATATTCCTTGTGACGACAGACTTAAGTGCCATAAACATTGACCCGGACCTAAAAGTGCTACTTAAAACGTGTACAGTGATCGTGTGGGGTGAAAGAAACTGTTGGGAAAAGCTAAATTTTCGGTTACCGGATGTGGACGTGACACTTCCAAATCGGACGCTTCATAATGCGAATAATATGAAAAGTAGTAGTAATAGGGAGGCGTTTGGTCGACATGGGAATTTGAGGTATACAGCACCGCCAACATCTCATGATCCTTGGTATAAGTATGGTATGAATCCGCCTGGTTTGATGATGTCGAGCCCGATGCATTCGACAAGCGCAAGCGCAGAAGTGTCAGCGCGCAGCACGGAGGACGAAACATGTTCGGTGGCAAGTAGCGAAGGTCGGCCTGACGATCGCCTACCCCATCATCATAGTTATGTTTCTATAGATAATCACCAGTGCGAGGAACGTCCTCTAAGGCCCGCGCAACAAATTCCCATGTCGAGCACGACGCATCCTAGAAAGACTTACTTTGTATAAGCGAATGATCATTGTGATTTGTATTGTTATCTGTAAATAAATATCATTGTATAAATATTGTAATCTGGCATAATATATTGGACGCAAATTGTGTTTATAAGCTTGTATTTGTTGGTGCTGTAATATTAAATTGTTTATGTAACAGTAATCGGTCTTGTGCCAGATTTGAAAATTCTTTTTATCGTACTGTGAGTACTATTGATGTCTATAATGATTCTGCACATATTTGTATAATCTTTTGTACCTGTTTGAATAGTATTCATTGTCCTCTTTTTCATGAGTTATTTGTAGATAAATGAAGTTATGTAAATCAATACATTCCTTTTTGCATTTGTGCATGCAACAGTTATACTATAAACGAGTTATGATTCATACACTGGTACTTTAAGGTTCCTGACTAATTTTAAGACCTGACATGCTGAGTATTTGTGATAATGTTAGGTACTTATATTGAATTTATCGTATGGAGTGAGAACTGTGTGAAACTATGAACTGTAAATATTATGTAGGTAAAGGTATTGCAGAACTGAAATGTACCCTAGTCAATTGTAAATAGCATAATTGTAAGATGTATACGTAAGTAAATAATTTTGTGATGTAATTTTTAGCTAGGATATGAAATTTTTTCGTATTTATTACGCTTCCAAACGCAGAGTATGAATAAAATAATATTTTTATCTACTATTTACTGTTTTTTAATGACCTTCCATATAAGGCAACCCAAAACACTCTTTATGAAACACACACACACACAACATACAACACAAAGTCACAAGTCAAATCAACTGCTAAAGAATACATTCGATAATAATTCTTATTATCAGTATTCCAAGAGCTTAAATTAGTGTGCTTACTCCTCGAGTCTGAATCAGATTATAATGGTAAAAGCTCAAGCAAAGATCGAGCTCAACCATCTGTCAAAGATGTCAATGAAAAGTAAATATTGAAAGAGTTGTCCATATAAATTAAATGGTAGGCTCCACGAGTTGAACGTAGACAGGTGTAGTACGCTCTCGAAGGCCTCGGACAAATCTATTGAACTTTGTTTGGCTAAGTAATAAAATTATCTAATAGACCTGGCTCGGTTTAAATGTAACCTCTTATGAGCTCTGCGCTTAAAAGTTTACACAGCCGAGTGACAGGAATAGTTAGAAAAAATAGCTTATCTTTCATAACAAGTCGTAACATTTAATAAATGCATATCTTAAATCGGAGCAGGTGATAGAATAGGGGCAAACGTCAGAACGTCAAGTAACTTTTTCATTGACATAATCAATTTACCGAACGCTTTGTTCGCCCATCCAGAGTTAAATGTATAAATATTTATTTTATCTAAATTGATCGAGCCGGATAAGATCACGCCCGAGCTCGTACGATTTTAATTTAAAAAGCGACCGCGACAGTGCGCGTGCGCCGATGGCCCGCTGCGAAATTATAAATCATCCGCCGGCTGGTCCGATGATGAATAAACAGCATTTTAATTGACTTTTGATTACGACGATGTCTCTTCATTGTTAAGTAGAGGTGTAAGTAACTGGAGCAATCGATTATGCGTTAAATGCGCACACGCATGTGTCAGATGTCATTTGGTAAGAAGTTTTACAGAGATTTAAATGTTTGTAAGGATTAATGTATAGTACATTTGAAATCGGTTTGTATTACATTACATTATATTTAAGGAGCTATTCAATCAGAAACATAGTAGCTTATGTTACCGAAATATTGATATTTTGAATTCATTTCGAGATAAAAGTATTTCACACTTTAGACGCTTAAGATCTTTTATATTATCCATCTCTAAATCTTAACTTTAATCAAAACAATAGATTGAATAGCTTAATCGAATTGTTGATGCAATATTATACCGAAAAAGATTTGAGACTTCGACTATCGTTAAGGATTTAAATGATGGTCATCAAGAGGTCCCATGTCTATGACATACAGGCCATTCATTTAAGCGCCAACAGTGCGACATCGGCCACTCATCACCTTTTTTCCTCATGCAATACGATATCCTATCGTTTATTGTCCACGGGCGATTCCAAACTCGTTCCAAATGGATCTTAGACATCTTAAACTTAGGTGGGAAATATCTAAACTCGAAGTGACAATTGATTATGTCCCTTGTAAAGACAAAAAGCGGAATCGTTCGATTAGTTATGTCGCCGGCGAGCGTAGGCCGACTGGAAACAATAGATTGGCTCTGCTTTATGATTCTATAAACGTTTATGTCCCTATAAACGACCTTTTAGCTTTTGGTGAAGTTGAGATTGTGATGTTATCGGTGTCCAGACAGGTTTATTACGAAAGTATTAATGGCACTTCTTATGAAAATGCTGTAATAAATTTTCGTTGACATTTTTAGGTCTTTTTAGCAACTTGAACAGTGAATATGTAAATCATCACCGATATCTACAACATTTGAGTGCACGCCGAGATCGTACTTACCATAACCATACGATTTCTTATTTTATTTATACTTTGCATAATTCATTTTTGAATTCTAACCTCTCAATTCAAATGTGGGTGGGTAAATGAAGGTTGCGTCTTATTGGCTTCAAATTAAATGTATCGTATCCTCATTAAATGATACTTCCATAACCGTAAACGTGACCGCCCATAGCTATCCAAAATCGTAAATATCCCAGGCTCAGCTAATGAAATGTTTAAAGAAATGTTCAAGCGCGCGAGTTTCGCGTAGGACGTTTGGATGTCATAATAAAACGTTTCGATTATGGCTTTATATAAACAAATAAAAATTATGACAGTTATTAGATTAGATTTTATATGATGATCTAACCATAAATGTACCTGTAATTATTGCTACATTATGAAGTTAGATTAATAATGAACCGTAGGCTGAGTGTGTTAATAAATAGGCCTAGTAATTGCAAAGCTTAGTATTAATAAATAATTGTGTAAAACAATTAACAAGTTGTGTCTTCCATGCCAGCTGGAAAATAATAACAGTTTTCTATAGATGATTAACAATAAAGAACACTAGTTTATCAATAGCATTGCCCAATGCTCAAGAGTCCGTGTTTGTAATAATTAGGGTTGCAGCTGCTTCCGTTGGTAGGAGGAGTCACAAGGTTTTTTAATAAATGTTTCGCTGTTATTGGTAGCAGCGAAGGAAGGAATTACAAATTTAAATTCGCCAGGGAATCGCCCGTGACAGTGTTGAAAGTGGAGAATGTAACGCATATGTTGTGTGCTGTTACACAAAATTAGTTTCCTGTCTTTAATATCTTAAACTTACAACATTTTCTATTTTAAAAACTGGCGCGATTGTTTTGATACAAAACCAGTTTCTAGTAATAATGTTCGAAACATCACCGAATTAAACCATTTACGACTTAACGACTTAGATAAAAAAGTAAATTTTAATCGACAGAATTATGTATTGATGGAGAATAAAATGGGCCGTACACAAGTTATTTAGTCCTCTTTTAATTATAAAATTTGCAAACGTTAAGATATAGAAGTAATAAAACTGACGTTAGCGATAATCGCTGATAACATCACCAAAAAGCTTTGCGTCATAAAAATGTTATAAAGTTTCGAATGTGTTAATGAAACTGCTAGCGCTTTGATATGAATTTATTTATTTATGTATGTATGTATAACACCGTAACGTTACTTGGGTGGCTTGCAAGATTTGTGAGAGATAAAATTTTAATTTTAATTATTATCATTGATCGAGGGCGAGCGTGTAACCCCTAATTTCTATTTTTGATATACGTTTCTGGTTCGGAAACATCTGTAGGCCATTAGTCATCTGAATCTACGGTATTAAGTTGAAAGTTTTTACCTCGACGTAGAGAAAGGAATGCATGATTTTGAGGATAAGAGTAAATAGTGCGAGACTAAGATTTGTGCGGATAATTCCCCGGACGTGCTATAGACGGATGCTACGAGATAACGTGCATTTATCTAAGTAAACACAGACTTAATAAATGCTTCTGGGCCGAACATGAGTCACTATGTAGCAAGAAAATAATTACCGACCACAAGTATCTATTTGCATAATCTTTGTAAATATTCCCGAACAGTTATTGGAGGACGGGTTACTTGTTTTTTTTATTACTAAATACGGAACTAAGTTTACTTTTGAGACATTCCTTTTTATTATCCATTTCATAGAACAGATAGCATATAAAAAATAATAGTTTGCATTTAGCTACTGACTACTGAGAATCCAAATTCAAAAAGGCAACGAGCAATTGAATTAAAATAACATATCGTGGTTAGCAAAAATCTGGCATATGCGAATAAATTGGGAGGGTGTGTCAAAAAAATAATAAGTGGCTGAAATTGAATACGTTGATCAGTAGACAGACTGTGCCCCTTTACAATACAAGGTTCATTAAAATCTACCCCTAGATACAAGTGCAGCATTGAAGAAGGAATACAAATGAGGAAGGAATACAAATAGGTATTTGTACAAGTGAAATGTACGACGTGGTATAATTAGACGAAATTGCACCCCAGACTGTGACAGCGGTCATGGGATTCGTCGCGGCTAATCCACTATACCTTCCATCCTAGACAGTTAAAAAAATAACAAGAACAAAAGTACTCGGCTCCAGAGAATGTGACGTTCATTCCCGTCTCCTCGTACCCACATTCCTTTTACGTTAGCCGCCACAATGGCCGACTTATTCTAGCTTTTTTATTTCGGTCACGGTGCTTGAATTACGTAATTAGCAGTAGCTTATTGGAACTTTGGGGACGTCCTGTCGCTTCCAAATGTGATTAAGTACTGACTGTGCCGAATAATTAACGACCAACATCAAATTGATTTAATTTAATTGATACTTGTTCGCTTGTCTTTCATCAGTGGATGTCAACTGACCGGCGCGCAAATGTCACTGTAATTCCACGCACTTGTTTGTTATTGTTAATAAAAAATTCAATTAGCGACAAGTGGTCACAAGTGCGACCTCAATCATTCATTTTATTGTATATCCGACTGTAGTACCCCAATACGTATCCTATTG